TGGAAACCAGCGACTGCGGACAGAACCCTTACCCTTCCCAGGGTAATGATGGCCACAGAGTGATCAGGAGAAAATTCAGAACTGCTTAGAGGGATAGCTTACGTCAGAAGTTAGCCAACTTCCTTACCCACTCCTTCCTTCAGAGATCTTTATCCACTCCTTCCAGGTCAAGCTGCCTGAATTTTCTCATCAAAACCCACAATTTCCCTTACACGACCTTCATCTAACAGGTGTGCTTCTCCAGCCCTCTCCTGCGGGCTGTGATCTGTAACACCCACTTGCCTTCCCTCCCCTTGTTGTGCTCAAAACAGGCCTCAGGAGTAGCAGCCACCCCCACTGGGCTACATCTAACTGCACCTCAGGCCTCAACAGCACACACCAGGCTGTGGCTTCAAGGTGGACCCTACATTCTGCTGTGGTCTCTCTGCCTCTGATCTCCCTGCTGCCTGCCCTCCTGAGCTGGGCTTCTCAGAGCAGAGGCCTCTATTCCCTCTGCGCCCCCAGAGGAGGAGCATGTGAGGCAGGCCTGTGGCTTCCCTGTCAGCTGAGACAATGGAACCTGCTCTGCTCCACAAACCCTGCTCTCCATGGCGCCCCCAGAGCATGCAGTAGGGAGAGAGGAGGGCCTATCTGGTGTCTTACGTCTAAGCCACATCCTCCAACAGAGTTTACCAGATGCTCTACCCCTGAGGGACTTACTGGACATGGGCCCAGCCAGGAATAAAGATGACACTTGGGTCTCCATTTAGCTGGCAATCCCTCTATGAACTCTGCCACCAGCCAGACGCTTTAAGGAGAGAGATGGGTTGCCTCAAACCCCACCTTATACCCCTCATACACTTGTGGTGACGTGACTCAGATCTAACGAGACAGCCACCCAGGTACCCAGGAGGAGGTGGAGGCTCCTGTTCTGATAGGAGTAGATAGTGAACACAGCCTGGGCGTGGCTGCCATGCCAGGTCACAGCAGCTCTCACTGCAGTGACCCAGTGGTGCAGCAGCAGCACAGCACTAGCTGGGACCCTCAGGTGCCAAACAAATGATATTAGAGGGAAAAAATCCATGCTAAAAATCAAGAGCAGCTCTTCTTTGGTGCATACAATGAACAAGCGGAAACTTGGCCTTGAGCAAAGCCAGAGCCGGGAGGGAAGCTCTCACAGTGGCCCGAGACCTGAAAGGCAGTTCTGCTTCTCGTGGACTCTGAAGTCCTGATGGAGGGGCCAAGGAGCTTGCTACAGCCAAGGACAGATCACTTCAAAGCCAGCTTTTCTTCAAGCCTAGTGGGGAGCCACAACGGCCCCAGCAGGCGGGCCTCTGGTGTGGGAGCTTCTGGAGTAAAGTCACTGTTCCCCTTTCCTTCTTGGGCTTCAGCCTGGGGCTATGGGCCAAGGCTGTCCGGGCACCAGGAGTGTTATCTTAGGATCCCCATTGCAGTGAGTGGCACTGCCACTTGCCCAAGTCAGACACCCGGCTGTCACTTGCTGCCCAGCACAACCCACATCCAAGTTTACCCTGTTTGCAGCTGTCAGGGCTGTAGGCCGGGCCCTACTCTCTTAGCTGGAAATGCAAGGGCCCACGTAAATGGTCTCCCTGCCCCTGGTGAGTCAACAAAGCAACCTTTCGAAAACATCCATCTTGTTCTCCTCGGTTTAAAATTCCTCAATGGCTTTCAATGGCCTTTGGTGTAAAACCTGAAACACCATCACAGAACATCCCTAGTGGCATCTTGCCTTGAATTCTACATTATTTAGCTGACTGGTCTTCCAACGCCAGCATGAGCATCCTTTTCTCTAACCATCTGATGGCCCAGTTTGCTAGACGCTCTTCCGCTATGCTCCCGTTTCTTAAGTGTGAGGCTCATCACACAGCACAGTGGTGTCGGGTTATGTGTCTCTCTCCTCCCTGGCGGGAAAGCTCCTGAAGTGCACGGACCCTGTCCCTCATCTCCAGATTTATGACACCTGAGGATGGCTCTCCGAGGGCTGGTGGCCCAAACATGAGTAAAACACAGTCCCTGCCCCTGAGAAGCACCATCTACTCCAGGAGACATTACTCAACCTAGAATACAGGGCAAGTACTACGACAGATGTGTGATACAGATTCTATTCAAACATCGTCCTCTCTCCACTTCCATCAACGTATACACAGCACTCATGACACTGTTGAGTTTTTGCTTGACTGTCTGTCAGAACACTGAGCCACGGATACGGTTGGGAGAGAGGAAGAGAGGGCGTGCTGTTCATCTCTGAATCCTCAGTGCCACCCATAGAATCTGGCGTGTAAAGGTGCTATATATATTGAATACATGGAGTCATTAGTCATGCCCTTCCTATGGGTGTGGGAGGTTACCAAGGAAAGCTAAAACAAGACAATGGACATTATCATTGAACGTGAAAGTCATTTCCCAGAATGAAAGGGAAACCAATGGCATCGGAGCAAAGGCACCCAGTGGCAGGGCAGTCTGGCGAGGGCCCTTGACCAGCACAGCTGATTTGAGAACACCCAAAGCTCACCCAAAGCCCGAGCACATTCTGCTACTCCGTTCTGTCCTCTGGGGAATCCTTGGGTGTCCCAAGAGACTTCACAGTGAAGTGGTTATCCTACATCTCCTATCCACCTACAGAACCCCGAGGGGTTCTGACCTGGCAGGAGCAGGTGTAAATCCTCGGACACCACGTGAGTGAGAAGTGATCACAACACAGACACACAGGATTCAGCACGGAGGCCTCTTCCTTTCTCGTTCACTACAAACCAGGCCCTGGCGCTGGCCCAAATCCCAACAGGACTGAGGACGAGGCCCTAGTGGTCAGCCCCCCAGTCTTGACTGATATGTGCCACGCCATTGATTTGGGGATCATAATCTCTAATTTTTATATCAGGTTTCAATTTTTTTAAAAGCTATAAAAAAATACATCTCAGGAGAAGCATCCCAGTAATTTCGTGTAACGGAATTGCAGTTAACAATGATCCTGTGGAATATTTTACGCGACATGACCCATGGCTTTCAGGCGATAGAATCGCAATGAGCTTCAGGCCTTGTTCTAAGCAAACCCTTACATGTGCATGGAAGGCAAAGAATGAAGCCAAAATGAAAATGCTGTATTTTGGTATGTATTTTTCATTTAGGAAGACTTGTTCCAGGGAGGTCACACACACAATACCAATCTCAGCAAGCTGAATTTTCATGAGCCTTTTATGACTAGTTCAGGTTCAGTCTCATTTCCCTAACCTACGAGGCAGAGTCAGGCCAGCAGACAGTCTCAGAGGAAGGCCCTGGGCACCTTCCTCCCCAGGTGCAGGACAGCGAGCTGCACCTCCCTGCTGTCCACTCTGCGGGAGGGCTTCGCTTGAAAGTGGGCTCCATGCACTCGGAGTCCACTGAGGTTGCACTGTTCTGCCTCACACAAAGAAAGGGGGATAAATCCTCCTGGTGCTTTGAGTTGAATAAATTGTTTAAAATTTAATGTATAATTTCAAAAACAAAGAGCAGTAAAATAAGCAGAAAATCTGTTGTGTTGTTTCGAACTTTTAAAATAAGGTACGTTGACGAGAATATTCCTTGCATTACGTGAGGATGTGTGATTTTGCAGCCCATTATAAATAGACATTCTTTACATCAAGAAAACAGGAAAAAGAAAAAATGCCACTGCAGAAATGGGGAATATTCTAAATACGGACAGCAATTTGAGAGACAGAGTGACATGGAGGGGAAAATCCTCACCCAAGAATCAGTACAAGGTCACAGTGAGCATCTGGGGATGTGACTGTTTCAGTGTTTCTGGGTTTGCACAAGGTCATGCAAACCCAGAAACACTGAAACAGTCCTGGGTTTGCAGCCCGTGATGCAGGGCCGACCAGGTTAGGATCCCTCCTCATCAAAACTCAAATACATCCGTATGGAGATGCTGTATAACAGTCAGGTCAGGCTATAAAACGGGGCAGGAGGAAACAGATGCAAGAAAAATTCCTTCACAGAAATCTCTGACAAAAAAAAGTTTAGGACAGTTGATCATTTATTCTGCATAGGGCTAGAAGAAAGAACAAGCTTACAAGTTTACATTCTTCTCAACCTAGGAACATATAAGAAGAGTTGTTATATCAAATTCACACCATGCTGTTTGCATTCAATATTAGTAAAAATATTTACAAATACGACACTGACATCAGATGTTGTAATAATGCCTTTTTTTAATTCAAATTTATTATGGCTTTAAGGAAATATGTATTAGGCATCCAAGCTCTTTTTAAGTCATAACATTTTTTAAATTATTTATTTCAACGTATTGTTCAATGTTGTATATACTTTGGTTTTCAAAATAAAAAGATGAGATGCACAATTTATGACTTAATGTATTCACACAGAGTGAAGAAGAAATGATGCTGAATCAAACTCCCAAACCCAAATATCAGGGTAACTGAGTCAGATATTTTTAAGTTGACTTGCTGTGTGCCTGTCTCTTCATGCACATTTATTACAATTACTACGTGAGCATCCAAAACTGATCTGAAAGCTGAGTGTTGTCCGAATTCTTCAAACTTGGCAGTTCCATCATTTCTTCCCCGTTACGAAACCAGAAGGTTCAAACATCACCAGAAGTGTGGACCTTTCATAGGGCTGTTTCTGTTGTTCTTCGTCAGCAATGACATCTGCTTCCACTTTGGCCAGGTCTGCAGCCACGGGTGGAATCTGGCTTCCCCCCAAAGCGGCTCTGTGAACCCCTATGAATACTGTTTTGGACAGATGCACCCTGAGGGGTTCGTGCAGTAAAACAGAACTATCTGGGGCCAATCCCAAACCCGCCCCACCCCCCTCCCGCCAGGGCTGACCCTGCAGAGGGCTGCTGAGGGCACGGCCACAGCCTCGCGCCACACGCTGCTCACACACACGCTGCTGCAGTCCCCCACGGACCCAAGTCAACGGAAAGTCAGAAAAAAGACTTTTCAAGAGAACGTTTAAGATCCAACTCAAACTCAAGGTTTCATTTTAGTCTTTGATTTAAGAAAAAAAAAAGGATGTCATCCACTTATTTTTCATTCCTGATTCTGTGAAAAGGCTTCAGAAGACCAGCGTTGGCGTACATCCAATCTAGGTCCTCACTGCGTGGTGCTCAGGGCTTTCTCGGAAGGTGTAATTAATTTGACTCCTCTTTGAGGAATCAGTGGGGCTCGTTCCTCCGGCTGTGTTTCTCGTTCCCCCAGAATGCACATCGTTCCCTTTGACCTTCACACACGTTCTCGGGGTTGGGTAGAACGGGCACACCCTCTCCTTCACTGAGGAGCCTATCACCTGGCAAGTGCCGAGTGCTCACCAGGAGTACTCACCGGAAGTACGGCCGTGATGCCAGAACCACGTGCGCAAGTCCAGGACTTCCCTTTTTTACGCAGAAGCATCAAAAAGATGTGTGATTGCTAATTTACTAACAAAATGGTTGATCTGCACATATGGGTGATGTGATCCCCTTGGAAACTGGCCACCAAAATTGAAAGTTCACTTGCAAACAATGGCCACAAATTTGCCCTCCAGTTGTTTTAAACTACTGAACACCTCACCGACCCTCTCCAGGAACCTCTTTCTCTAGTGCGCGAGAGAAAGACACTTAAAAATCCTCAGCTGCCGTGAGAGTGACAGGAGAAGAAGCTGCTAGAACCTTAGAAGCCCCGGGGAAAAATGAAAGAATTCCCAGGGAAGTTACTGGGAAATGCACATAATATTTGTATTACCTTTAAGATGTTAAACATAAAAAATAAACATCACAACATTTATTTTTTCCCTAAATAGCCTATAAATGTTAAGCGACTATACTAATTAAACTGGCACTGAATGATTCAGGTGACTTATACTTAAAATATACTTAATTCCTCTTTATGAAGACTGCTTTAAATCCAGCAAAAGAGATTCGTCATCCTCTACCTGCACCTGGGGTTTAAAGGTAACTTTTAAAGGCTCGGGGGTCGGGATTTCCCCTCCTTCGTGGGGAGCACCCCCCACCCTGGCCTCCTCACGGTCTGTTTCACTGAGCTCGTCAGTGTAGAGCTCACCGCCGGGGCCCAGAGACGAGCCCCTGGCAATGATGTCCACACCCATCTCCCTGGCCTCGTGGGGACCCTCAGTCCCCATCTGACCTTTAGCTTTCCGAAGGCTACGTATCTTAAAAGCTTCCTTCGAGGGAGCTGCGTTAGAGATAGATTTCTTAAATCTTTCCCCCGACTGTTTCAGCCTCTCCCCCGACTGCCGCAGCCTCTCCCCCGACTGCCGCAGCCTCTCCCCTGACTGCCGCAGCCTCTCTCTCCTCTCCGGGGTCACTATTCTAGTTCTAATTCTGTCAACCTTCTTGTCGATGTTCTGCCGTGTCTTCTGCATGTTCTCTTTGGAAAAAGCCTTCTTGATGTTATCGATGTGTTCCTTGCCTGACTTTTTAAGCTTGGTGGATTTGCTTTCTTCAACGTAATATTCTTCGTCAGAGGACAGATCTACCGGGGGATCAAAGATATCTTCGATGTCTTCCTCTTGATTCTCAGTTAGGGTTTTGTCTTTAACAACAGACAGGGATGTCGGACACTGAACGTCCTCCTGAAGGAGAGCAAGGGAAAGCATGTTAGAGACCAGTTCTTATACCTTCGGCCACACCTCTAAATCTCTAAACAGGTTGTTTATCCTCTGCCCACTCCTTCCTTCGGTGTTGGTATTTCTCCGGGTTTCTCTTCCTTGGCCCTTGTTTCTTCCTCACCTCCCAAGCTCACCCTGAACAACAGTATCCACTCCTCTGCCTTCAGATCCAATTGTAAGCAAATTCACAAATATTTTCTCTTTACCTCTCCCCTTACCTGAAGATGAAGACACATTTTTAAATAACAGACTTCTCCACCTGGATGTAACACAACATGTCCAAAATGCAGGCCCACCCGTCATCCTCTCCACAGCTACTTCCCTTCCTGGGCCTCTATACATCCAGGTGCCAGCTACAAACCTCAGAACCATCATCCCGAACCTTTCCTCTCCTTCTCATCCCCCACGCCATGGCTCTCCAAGCACTGTCAATAATACTGCTTAACAACTCCTCCCTCCTCCCTCCTCCTTGCTTCCACCACGGTCTTAATTCTGGTCCTTGTCACCTGAGGCCTGAATTTGTATAATACTTCTATCTCCAAAATGTCACCTAAGCATTTCCTGAGAAATATTTCTAAAAGCATAGCTCTGACCACATCCGTTCTCTGCTTTAAAACTTCTCAGAGCTCATCAACACTCAAGGGACAGCATTCAAACTCTTTAGTGTGATGAGAAGGCTCTTCAGCCTGAGCTAAGCCCCTCTCCCACACCTCCGGTCCAGCACCACCCAGCCGCTCTCCAGTCCCCAAACACGCAGGGAAACGCTGCGTACGTGGTTCTGACTGCCTTAAGTGCCCCTTCACCTCTTTTCAGCTTTGTAAAAGATACCTACCTTCAAGAATAGATTAAAATGTCCCCAACTTCCCCAAGAGGCTAGTTACGTCTCCACTTTACATCAAAAGGACACGCGTATACTTCTATTTATATATCACAGTTGGAGTTGAACCGGAGCTCTACTTATTTATGAATGTCTCCCCGAGGCTTTCACTTGACGGGTTACGTTCATGAAGCAAAGATGTGTCTTATGTTTTACGCCCAGTGCGACTGGTGGGTCAAACCAGAGGTTTGTGTCTTCACCCAACAAACAGTAACTAAGCACCTACCCTGCACAGTGAATGTGCTAGGAACTGAGAACAACCTCCCGTGGGAAAAAAACACCAGAGTAAAAGAGCTTATAGTTTCGGAGAGAAATAAGCGGGTTAGATAAATATAAAGAATGTCAGATGGTGTTAAGTGGTAAGAGGTGAAAATAAAGTAGGGAAGGGGGAAAAACAGTGACGGGGAGGGTGCTCGGAAAGCCCTCAGTAATAAGGTGACACCCTAGCCTGGACGGGCAGGCCAGGCCATGCGTATATCTGGGAGGGAAGGAGAGACAGCGAGGTGGGCAGAGTGGTTGGGGCAGAGGGATCAAGGGCCGAGAGGAAGAGGGGAGAGGGCGAGAGAGGGAGCAGGAGGGCCAGATGGTGTGGGGCTCCGTGTCCAGTACCAAGGACTGTGGCTCTTGCTGTGAGTGTGAGAGGAAGGCTTTGAAAGAGTTTTGAGGAGAGTAGTGACACAATTTGACCCATGCTATAAAAGGATCACTCTGCTGGAAACAGGCTATGGGAGCCAGATAAGAAGCAGGGAGAATGGCTGGAGGCCACAGCATAAGTCAGGTGAGAGATGGATCACGGGGTTGGCAGAGGTGGTCTGATTCCTGATCCACTTTGAAGGCAGGAGCCAGCAGGATCTGCTGCGAGATTAGGGTGCAGAGGGTTAGAGAGGGTCAGTGATAACTCTCAAGTACGTGGTCTAAGCAACTGCAGGACAGATTCGTCATTAAACGACACGACAGAGTTGGCAGGAGGGGAAGGATGGGACCCAAACATGAAGATTCTGAGATGCCCCCTGGAAATCCAAGCAGAGATGTCGAGTAGGCAGCTGAGTACGTCAGTCTGGAGTTCAGAAGGGAGGTCTGGACAAGAGATGCAAATTTAGGAGTCATTAACATAAAGATTAAATTAGAAATCACGTGATTAGATTAAAGAGATCACACTGAGTGAATGAGTCTACATTCTGTTAATCAGACTCCTTGGGGCCCTGATGTGTTTCAGAATTCAGAATATTTCAGATTTGGGAAAAATAATATGACACATTACATAAGATTTCAAGTGAGATCTTTGGAGAAAACATTTTTATGGCAAGAAATATGAATACTGACCCTAAGGTGGGCTAAGGACTAAACAGCCTCAGGCTATTTCAGGCCAGGTTTTCCCATCAAATGAGTTCGGGTCTAGCTGGGTCTTGCTGCCAAAATAAGTTGTAAAAAAAAAAAAAAATCAGAAATTTTTGGATTTTAGTGTTATAGATAAATGGATTTTGGACAAGTATATCTGAAAAGATGAGAAAACCAAAAGGAGAAATATCAGCCAGTGAGGCCGGAAGTCCAAGAGAAAGTAGCACCTCCCACAGCTAAGGGGAAAGGGAAGCAGAGGGAAAGAAGTTTCAAGAGAGGGATGGACCAACCGTCCAATGTGTCAAAAGGGAAAGAATGGGAACTGGGCTTGGGAACATGGCAGACACCGGTGACCTTGAGAACCAGCCCAGAAACACAGCTGCAAAAGGAACCCAAGTCCCTATTTAGGGACTGCTTCTAAAACTCAACAGGCAAAACTTTAACCATCACAAGACTTTTAACTGAACCCGTGAAGTTAAAATTTCTAAAGAAAACCTGCTTGACATCCAGATTAAACCAGTTCAAAAGAAAATGAATAAGCAGGTAAGAAACGTATTTACAAGTATTCCAAAACCTACCAGCCTGAGAGTCCAGAAGGTATCCCTGGAACTTTATTTCTTTGGAAACTTATTTAAAATTAAATTCTTTGGTTCCAGTATTGGAGAGTCTAGGAGCTTAAAAAAAAAAAAAAAGCAGGGTGGGCGTCTCATAGCTCTCTGATGAATCAGAAGGAGCAAAATGATTCCTCTGCCTTCCCGACACCTGCTGCAGGGAGCGGCTTCCGCTACACTGAGTGGGTTGGTATGGCCTGAGAAGGTATAATTAGAAAAGAAAGAAGCCCCCAAAATAATGACTGGGGGGGAACCCCTCACAACCCTGCTGTGAAATCAGATATAACTTAACTCAGGGATCACATACCCTTCTTCAATGGCACAACAAATTATGTAAAAGCAGACTTAAAAACAAAAGAAAACAGAGGTAGAGTCAGGGAAAGCACTTGTGACATGGATCTCTCTGTGGTAACTCCTGTGAGTCAGAGGTACTGGGAGTCAGTGGTGAATACACTGTAATAATAATTGAAGGTTGTATGGTTGAATTATAGTTGATTTCCAAATGCAATCATTATATATCCATGTAAAGGCCCAGGTTTAAAAAAAAAAAAAGATGATCTTCATAAATAAAACAAGTACTCTGGGTCATGACTGAGGGTCACAGTAACACAGCTGGGGATGTTTGGAATACAGACACGTCTGAGACGCATCATTAGGGATGGCCCAATCCCTCGTCTGGTGACCACGTAGCTCAGTTACTGGGCCAGACTGGTAGAAGATACACTAAGACCCCTGGCTTGTGTGATGAGAAAGCCATCAAAGTGAAAGTATGTCCAAAGAGGAATGATAATTGTATGAGAAATAGATTTTTTTTAATGCCTATGTTCAGGATTAGTTGAAAGGTCAGCCACACCCAACTGTGGGAGATGAAAGAAAGATTGCCACCAGAAAGATATATTCGGGGAAAACTTTTTGAGGAAAGACCCAAATGGAAATGCCCATATCCTACAGCTGAATTACTCAGCTTCAAGTTAATTTTAGTAGAAAGGGCATCCTCAATATAACCACTTGTATGTAAGAACTATGAGAATGAATTGTAAGAACTTCAAGAATAATCGTGTGAATGTGTGACTACAGCATAGTGTTCTACCATCTAATGAATCATCAGATCCATGTTCTATGTCCATTATTATTTGCCTTTGTGTTTTCTACCAGGTCTCCCATTGTAGCTGCCTGCTTATTGACAAACTGCTGCTTATTCTGAATAACTTAATTTCATGTAATCTTCACAGCACTCTGTCTTACAAGGCAAGGGATCTGACCTAACTGGTGCCTCTCAGCTGCTTTTTCATACTATCTTCTATTTGTTCAAGTAACTATGGGGGCTGAAAAGGTGGGGGGGGGGGGGGATAGCAAGTTTCAGGCAGGAAGTGGGTGAATATAGAAACATCTTAACTTTTTTAAAAGAAGAACTATGCCAATAGACCAATGAGTCAATTAGAACTTGTCAGAAACTTCTTTGTTCTCGACTCCGTAAATCTTGACTGGTACCTGGTCCATTCTTGGCATGAAGGTTCTCAGGAGAAATGCTGGATGCTAAGAATGCTTGCAGGCACACCCCATGCAAGCAGAGGGTGATACGGACCCCTTACTGCTAATGCCCTTGGAAAGTGAACTGAAGAACAGCTACCACACTCTCCAATACCAAATCTAGATTTGGTACCCATTATGCACACTCACACTGAAACTGGCCACTGAGGCTAAGGTAGACTGGCTTTTTCAAATGTTTAGGCCTGGAGAAGAACTGCCAGGGACCTGGAAGGAAAGGGAAATGACATGGCCCTACTACCTACCTTTGAAATAAGTGACACTTCTCTCTCCTCCCTATTCTTCCTCCTAAACAACCATCAGGCTCTTAAAAACAGATCCAAAACACTCCTCCGTAACTTTATCAGTGAACAGAGAGCTATGGAGAATTGACTAATGTGCACAGAACACTGGGGTGGGGGTTACGGCCCTCATCCCTCGTGTGGTACGAACACCTGCCTGCATCATCCAACTGTGCTCCTCCTTCACTTTGTTTTTGTTCTTCTAGGTTCCCCCCCTAAGCATATGGGCATCCATCCACTTAAAAAATATGGTAACAATATATATATACACCAATGAGCATGCCTGCATGTATTACTGATCTCATACTTCAAACAAATTCTTTGACATGAATTTTGGGGGCCAGAAGGTTTGTGAATTTTTAAAGTTCTCAACATACACCAACAAAACTGTCCTCCAGAAGTGTTGCACACGTCAATGCTCCTGCCAGCAAAATACTGACGTGCTTGGTTGTTCTCTGCCCTTAAACTCGGAGTGTGTTATGCTTTAGTAACTGCAAATATTTAAATAAGTGAAGATAGAATTCTGCCCATTTGTTCCGTCTTTTGTGAACTGGCTGATAATGACTTCCCTGTTTTTCTACAGTGGGAGGAGAGTTCACGTTTTCCTTCTGATTTGTAAGAGTTTTAAAATACATTACAGATATGCACTTGCCATGAATATGGTCCTATTTTTAAAAATATAAGTTCAACTGTACAGTGCTATACAACGCCTCATAAAAACTATTACACTAAAAAGACTTTGTAATTAAATAGTAGGAATCATGTATGTGACTCCTGCATTTGTATAACTGTAATAACAATAAGAAAAATAAGAAAAACTGCCTGGTTCATTACAAAATACAATTTCTTATTATTGTGACTTATATGTAAAAATTCCAAAAGATTCCAATTTCCAATATTCTGAAAAGCTTACATTTTATTGTTTAGGGCTCTCCCGACTCTCCATGATAGTAAGGAAAAAAAACCACATTATGAGGTGACAAGTCCTCAGTTTGTTTCTTTATACTACAGAGGTATTTTATACTGGAGGATCCTTAGGTCTCTTCCGGGTCTAACATTCTAAGTCTATGCGAAGGCATCATGCTAATATGGCTAATATGCTGAAAGAGCTTTACCAATATTAAGTTTCAAAGGCAAGAAATAGCCTCAGCTCTGGCCCACAGTTCATATTACACGCAATGGTTGAGAGGCTCAAAATACTGATCTGATAGTACGTTAGTTAACACAGAAACGGCTTTATCCTGAGACGCCTGCTGACACAGAATTCCACTACATGAACATATACAATAGTTAAAGAGGCAACACTGGAAGGTGCTGGTAGGACCTGTTGGCCATTCAAGGAGGCGAGAGATTACAGTAGTAACCAAGGTAAACCCAAGTTGCAAGCTTACCTGGAATATTACCACACGGAATTTGTTTTTCTTCATTATTTCCTCTTGCTTAGTTTCAACTTTTGTCACGTGAATTTGTTGCTTCTCCACCCGGGCCTTCACGTCTTTAATGTGCGCGCTGACTTTCCGGGTTTTCTCAAACAACTTGTTGATGATGTAGCCTGTATTGCTGTGTGACTGTGAAAACTTCAGCAGGTCGATCTGGACGGACTTGATGGCGTTTTCCATGCCCCTGTGTCTCTCTTCTATTCTCTTCTGGCTCGCCTGCACGTTGTCCACGATGGCGGCGACTTTGTCCAGCACAGTCACAATGGTAAGAGCGGCGTCTTGGTCTTCATCTTCTGTCATACTCGACAGGCGATTCTGGTGGATCTTATCAGCATTTGAGGCAGACCTATTGTGTTCCATTTTTTTTACTTCCCAGTCAGAGAGGGCTTACCACGAATCAATTCTGGCACTTCAGAGCAAAGAGTTCACTTGATAACAGGCAACAGGGCTGTTTAAAGGATTGGATGCCCCACCCCTGGAGACTGGTCAAGTATTTATAACTACAAATACCCATACGTGACTGTCTGCAACATGAGCCCTTGCAAAGCACTGGGGACTGTTCCAAACATGCTTACTCACTGACTAAGGGGCTCAAATAAGACAGTGGGGATAGAAGAGGACAGCTTTTCCCAAAAAAGTTCACCAAAGCCACCACATTACTAACATTAAGCCTAGAAGCTGAATGACCAAAACAGCAAACTCCAAATGTTGGATGAGGTGCTTGCCATTAGATACTCTCCAGCAGCATTTGTAAAAGCAGAGGGGAATTTGGGGCTAAAATTTGTTTTTTCTATTAATTTCACATATTAAATGCACTGGCATAGCAATATCAAAGAATGTAGTAAATAAACACACCAAACAGAGGCATATAGTGAAAACATTATATTATAACATGCTTTTCCAAATCAAATATTAAAATTAATATTCAATTTTGAACATTTTTTTAAATTCTACATGCATACTTCTGAATATCTAAACTACACGTTAAACAGCTGAATACATTCTACTCACACTTCAGATCTTGAAACACCAACAATCTATTATATACCTATTACTACAGGACAAATTTGGATAGAGAGGTCTTAGGTAATTTTTAAGCTCACTTTAAGAGCACCAATCATTAACAAGTATTTTTGCATTTTATTCACAAACACTGAGACAATTTGTTAAAACAAGTATTTTCTTTAAAAATTAATGTGTATTAAAGTAGTTTAACTCATAGAATAGGCTTTATTCCAATCTGTTTGTTAAACAGACTATTTTCACAATATCTAAATCTACTTTTCGGTGATCTGTTCCATCATTGCTACCAGATACGTTTTTGAATTATCAGAATTTTTTTTTCAAAGACAGGAATAATCAAATTCCAGCCCATACGTCTTATAAATATTTTACATCTAACACACACAGCTTTACAGTTCATGCGACTGGCAGTGTCTAAAAAAATCAGTTCCTAAATCTCAAAACATGTAAATGCCTATTTAAACACAGTGTCTTCTAAAATTTTTTTTTTGTAAGAAAAGTAATCTGTAAACATCTTTACCTTTAGTTCATGCGTGGTCATTGGCTGTGGTCACTGTGGGAGGAGTGGGTGTGACTTTAGAACCATTTGAGAAGTGGTCCAATTTTGCAAAAATATTACATTCCACAGGTAGAGAGCAAGTCTTAGAGTCACCATGTGGTACAAATATATGAAATCAATTTTTATATTTAAAAACATAAAACAAAGACTTCTAAACAGTCCAAAACTGTTGTAGCTGAATATTCTAAATACGAGCCAACTGTACTACACTAAAAATGTCCAAAAATAAGGCCTCTGAAATAAATATTTCCATTCTTTTAAAAAAAGACATAATAAATGTACATCACATGGTCAGTGTACATATAAAAGTCACTTTAAACCATTCTAGATGACGTATCTGAAGTAAAATGACCTAGGTTTTGCTTCTGTCGTCGTCCTCTATTGTTTTTAGGGCATTTTCTGTTGAGTTAAAAAAAAGAGAAAGAGGAAAGCGTCATTTTGTTTAGGATATTTCAGGCGTTTGCAGAGTAATGCGCATTTCATGTGAAGCCGTGTTGCACGGCATCACACGGAAGGGGAACAGGGCACTATTTGATGCAACCCAAAGTGAGGACCGACACCCCAGACTGCTATCTTCCCGACAAAGTCGGGAGGTGAGAGGGCTAGACACATGACACAAGCGAAATTCAGTGCCGGGGTCTCTACTGCCGACTGGCATCCCCAAGGGGGACCTACACCCTTCCTCTGGCCCGGCAACACCCCCACCACAGTGACTGGTAACATACAAACCCGTGACAGCAGAAAGGATTCTGGCCGACATACCTTCCCTGAACACTGACCGCCCCCCCACCACCCCAAGAAGACAAGAACATCTTAGAGGAAGGGAAAATCAGGAAGAAATACGCTTATTTAACCTCTGATGGGCATGCACAGGAAATGCCTAAGATTTTAGGCAATGACTCAAAAGAACTCATTCCACACCCTGCTTGGGCAAAGCACAGAACCCAGTAAAGCACAGCCATGCTGGGGGTAAGGGGTGTTGCTGCCTCCGCTCTCACTGTACCGTGCTTGTTTCTCCACAGTGGTGCAAATCTCACTGCGCTGTGACTACGTTTCTGCCTGCCCCCTCGAATGCAAACACATGAACTCTTACTACGCACAAAGCACACTGCTACACAGGTGGAATAAAGGACTGGGATGAATTCTGGTAGTTTTGAGCTTGGGCTCTGCTAAAAACTAGCTGTGCGGCCTTCTATTCCTATTTGTAAAATTTTAGGACTTGGACTAACCTCTAAAATCTCTGCCAGCAAGAAATTTATAATCTAATGGAAAGTCTTGCAGCCATGAGGTCTCCTCCCCTAAAGTTCCATGTCTTTAGTCATTTTTTTATTTTAATTTTATTTTATTTTAATCATTGTTCAAGTACAGTTTTCTCCCTTTTACTCCCATTCCAGCCCACCCACCCAACCCTCCCCACTTCCCTCCCATTACCACCCTCCCCCTAGTTTTTGTCCATGTGTTCTTTAAATTTGTTCCTGTAAACCCTACCCATTCTCTCCTGAAATTCCCTCTTCTCTCCCCTCTGGTCACTTTTAAGAGCACCACTTTGCTTTGATTTAAAAGCCTTGGTGGTAACACTTTCATTTTATATATTTTCACAAGTTTTATCCTGCTAATCCCCATAAAAAACACTTTGAGGTAGTGCTGGAATCATCTCTATTTCGTAAACGAGGAAACGGGCTGAGTTGTCAAGCAACCCCTCTTCTACCTGTCACTAATTCACTATGACCTTGGAAAAGTCCCAGTTTCCTGGGGCTGTGGCTTTTTCATTTATAAAATAAGGGGGGGGGGGGGGGGGGGGTTGGCCACGATGAGGTCCAAGGTCCCTGCCATTCTGTCATTACGTGAGTCTAAACACAAAAAGAAAGATTCCAAGTATAAAAGGAGATAATTTTACTCCTGCGGCCTTGATAAGCAGGTCAGCAGGAACATCCTTCTAAAGCAAGACTCCTCCCAGGCAGACAGCCCCCGTGGGAAAGGGAACAGCTGGCCCACAATGGACCGCGTGGGAGAGGCAGTCCTTAAAAATTCAAAGGAGACAGGTCCAAGTAATTATAATGTTCTAAATCCAAGAGAGCAAGGCATTCTAGGACAGAAAAGACCACAATGAAAAGGCCTCAAGGACAGATCTAGGATAAATCCAGTGAAGATGACCCATTGGTCATGGAGACTGTGGGTGGCAAAGATATGGTAACACGGTTAAAAATGTACTGTGATGTCCCAGTGTCTGTGAAGACAGGAAATGGGTCTGGGGTATAAACTGGAGGGCATTAACTTGAAAACTGCCTGCCAGATAACTTTACTGTAGCACTTGAGGATTACAGCACACTCAGAACAGAAGCACGGAGCTGAATGAAAGCTGAATTAGGATTTGCACAAGGGCTTAACTACCTCTGTGACCTTGGGTAAGGAACTTCCCATCCCAGGGCTTCCGTCTCCTCATTTCTCGAGAATGAAGGGGTTGAACTCAAAGTTGCTTCCCACTGATTCTGACATATTTTGATCTTCTTAAAGATCGCACTATCGCTGGGCCTCAAAATGCTACCCTCACCTTTACCTTACTTCCTTCTTTCACCTTCCAAATCATTTATTACTCTACCCGTCCTTGCCTCTAATAATGTCCTAAATGGTCTCCCCGACCTCACATTTTCTCTCCTCCAGTGAATGGTGCAGAAGACACTCAGATTAATTCTCTGAAAATGTTTTATACCAAACCTCTCCCCTATTCAAAACCCTGAATTGCTACAAAGGCAAGTTGGAGCCTTGCTCCCATGCGATGGTCATACTTGGCGAATGTATCTCCCAAGAGGACTCAACGTGGACCCTCCTCTGGATGGCTCCGTGGCAGAGGGAGTGGTTTGAGGATCGGCAGCACTCCGTCAGCCCAGGCCCCTCACCTGCTGGTCTGGGTGACCACAGGCAAACGCCTTCACCTTGGAGCCTATATTAAATGGCCACAGGCAGGCCTGCTGTTACAAGTTTTTTTTTAATCTTTCTGCTGTCATTACTTTTTATATCAATATGTCCCTAACTTTAATCTGCTGCCCAATTTTATACTCAGTAGTCTTGCCTAAGGACAGATCATCTGTTCAACAGAATGAAGTCCCACCAACTTTAATTGGCTGGATTTTATGAAAAATATCTGTTACTCAGAGAACACTTTTTAGCAAATCATTTCTAGATGTATCATTTCAGCTCCAGATGGCTGAGCCTACTGAAGGTCTGGCTTCCATCCAGACCTTGGGTAGAAGAGCCGTAAATCCTTCATGGCCCGCCAATATCTGCACTTGATATGCTCCAACCCCCTGCCCAGAATAATGCAGAGAAGTATGCAGACAACTTTTACAAACTTCTGAACCAAATCTTAAAGGAAGTAAGGAAGAGGCCAGCAAGCAGAAAAGACGTGAGCCTGGGAAGCATACAGACAATGGGAACTTGATCTGCTGAATTTTCTCAGGTCCAGTTCAGTTCTCACTCATATATTCCCACTCCATGCAGAAAACACCCATTCTATGCCAACTGCATTCATTCTCAAGAGTCCTTTAAATTGGAGTGTAGTTACAATAAATTCCAATGGTTTTAGTTATAATACAGAACTTTAAAGTTTAGTAGTTATGACTGCATCCTAGAAAATGAAGTTACATTAAGACAATGATAATAAGAAAAGCGGTTTTCTTTAACCTCTGTTTTCTTCCTTTCTGGTTGTATTTACCGTGAATAAATTATATTCTTAGGGCATAAGACACCTTGCAGTTTGGCAGGTCTTCAGAACTCCTGGCCTGGCTCTTCTGTGCGTGTGCAGACCGTTCTAAAAGTCTGCCGCTCCCATTACTGTCCCTGAAAGCCGTGCTCAGCACCAACACACAGTCTTGAGAT